ATTAAATCATCATCGTTGTCGTCGATGGTTTTTAAACAAACCGCGATGATTCGTAAACAACGATTGCAAACATTAACACATAAATACAGTGTCACCGTCGACTACTTTTTTCTACTTGTTAATATTTTTGAAAAATTATTACTCTGAGCACATTTAATGGAATTTTGATACGTTTGATTAAAATATTCTTAACTGGGAAATGAGCTCGATTATTTTAAGCAAGAGATTCGGATCTCTGAAGATAACGTTTAGCGCTATTCAATATTATTATGAATTGATTACGTGTTACTAGAGTTTAAAAATAATTAGGTACTCATAATTACTCAATATGTATTTTACGATTAGGCTGTAAATATAATATTGAGCATTTTCTAAATTATAATAATAAGACGATTAAGCTAACTTATCTGGTAGAAATCGCAAGGGGAACCCTAACGTGGCCAAACGTGTGAGTCATATTATAATATGCATACATAATGCCAACAACGATAACGAGCGTTCGATTAAAAAAACGGAATCGTACGCGGAACACCTTTATAGCGAACAAGACGAAATTTCACATACGCGGTTTTGATATTTTAAATTATATTTATACATTTTTTTAACATTTAAGTCGCCAAACACAAGGCCAATCGCTAATATGTTTAGAGCGTACCTCACGGACGTCGTGATAAGCAAAAGAAGCTATTTATGGTAACACGCACGTGAGTTTTGGGACGTAGCTTCGGTATCGACTATAGGTGGCGATACGTATAATATTTAATGTGTGCTTCATACAGACGGATAAATTACAAAATAGTAAAATACAGTATATACTATTCTACGGTTGGTTTTAAAGCGATTTTTACACCGCGTCAATTCCATAATAGGTCCTCGACGAGGCATTATCGAATAGGTCGTTGCCTCAATGTGACAGAAAAATAAAAACAACAGAGAGAAGGCCACGTCGACCAACGGAGCTCCAAGTCCTAACCCGTATTAATAATATACGTCGTACGCGACAAAAAACAACAAAGCAAATATACTGTTATTAAGACACTATCGCTGGGTTACATAATCAATTTAATGAATCAATAGTGAGCTATAAATGGCCCCTTAAACATGATTTAGTGGCCCATGATTGGGCCATCGCATTTTAGTGTACTATTAAATTAATCAATTTTTTATGCAAACCGGCATATACCATTGTTATTACTTGCACAATTATTAAACGATGATTGGCGTGTGCTGTCTACAAAATACAACACAATGCCTGGACTCTTGAGCTTTTATCGACTGCGTTCATTAGTTAGAACCACACGATCGTAAATAATGTTATTATAACTTTAAAGACCTGATGAAAAAGAAAAAATCCTATAAGCCAGTTAACAAAAGATTTTTCCCATAGACCTTTTACATTAATAGACCGGCCTACTTCATGTTTACACATTACACCGAGTCAAAATAGGTGGTGCTTTTCGGTTACTGAGTTACTCTGATACGGTAAAAGATATATCTAATTATTTATACTAAACGGGCTGCATTACTGCACTATGTCGGTTCGGAAATATCATTGATTTTGGTATAGAATGGGGCGGTGTATAAGCAAAAAGTCTATAATTTTTTCAGACCCGAAAAGAATACGATTAAGTCTCAAGAAATTTTTAAATACAAAAAGCGATGTTTTATTAGTGTAAACAAATACACTAGTAAATAATAGGAACATATTCATCACATTAATTAAATATATTAAATATTATATTATTATTTATTGGTAATTTATTACCTAATACCTATTTACCTAAATATAATTTAAAATTAAATCAACCAACCCGTTTAATAATCATAATCATACCAAATAAATTAAAAGGATAATACCGGAAGGAGGACCATTTTTTTGTGGACAATTATTTGATATTCTCCCTTTAGAGAGGTACCAAATACTGATGCTACCAGAAATTGTAATAAATATACGATACAGAATTTTATGATTTTTGTTATTAGGAAAATTGTTAAGAAAATAGAAATCTTTCGAAATAATAACTTAATTTTTACAAATTAAAAATTATTATTTTAATAAATAAATTAAAATATTAATCGAGTACTTTCAAGTGTCAATATTTCGCTAAACAAGTAGTGAAACACTGGTTTTTGGTGGGTGGGGCTGATTTTTAACACTATTAAATTAACATAATTTTAAAGTGTTTGAGGAGGTATTTTATTATACACCCATCTAATATCAATGTAATAACTGTCTTCGCTTGTAAGATATATCACGAATTAAGATATACAGGATACGGAACGGAAGGCCTTATCAATGTTTTTCTGAATCCGCCGGCTTGTCAAGTTGCGGGTTTCACTTATCACAAGTTCGTTTCGTATTCTGTATATCCTAATTCGTGAGATATAATATTATAATCATTCATTTTCGTTAGAAAAAATTAATCATGATATCGTCGCAATTTGCTCATTACTCAGTATTACAGAATAAATACCACCGCCTTTACCAAAATTGTAACAGATAAAAAAAATAATTTAAATACAAGTTATCTAGTATAAATTTGACCAGATAAGACCGTGATTCGTACTTATTGTTTATTTTACATTTTTAAAACACAACTAAATTAATAAAATGTCATATTTTAGACTGGGCAGATTGAGCGATTGATTTATCATTGCTATCGATCTTAAAATAATACAAACATTCGACACTAAGCAATAGCACATTAGCACGTGCCGAACTGATTAAACACTTGTCATTGTATCCTGTTCATATCATAATATACTGTTAAATCAGACGTGACTGTGTGCTAAATAAACGCTTTGAAATAAAAAGCAACTTAGCAGAATCTCAACACTATAAAGAATTTATTTTTCTAGAAGTTAAAATATTCTCGGTTTCTCTGGCAAAGTAAAACTCGCATTTCTACATTTTATACTTTATATTATTACGCTATACAGTTTAAAAATGTCTGTTGAAATTATTTTAAAATGTTTTTAAAATGAAATTTAAATACTTTTTATTTTTGTCAAACGTTTAACCAACTCGAAAGCCTTATGGGAATGAATTACGGTGTTTTATTTTTCATAAAAATGGTAGGTAGTTGTTTACTTTTGATCAATGACAGTTATATGATATACATAATATATACTTATAGTAAATATAATACATGGTAATGGATCGTTAGTAACTATTCATATGCCCAAAAATAGGCTAATGCATATGATAACCGTATGTGAATTTGGGTAACCACGCGGATGTCTTATATAATGAGAATTTGCACATGACACGGTTAAGAAAAGAAAAATTGTGACCATATGTGGGGACTGATCAGTTTGGCGCCAAATAAGGCAGCAAACTTCAACATCATCCTTGTAGCTGCACGGGAGTCTTATAAATCTCAACATTACTTTCACTGTACCGACTATAAACATTCATTATCTGCAATATAAAATTTAATATTGACATTTTGTTTCTTTGGACGAAATCATTCTACATAATGAATATTAATAATATTAATTATACAAGCATGTGACATGAGTACATGACATCGACACGACAGATTCGGATACCTCTATATATTATAAAAAAAAATTAACACGAGTCACGAACGACAAGTAAAGATATCAGTCCAAAAAGAACGACCTAACCGAATTTGGTTTGATATTTTATCTTCTATTATTTGATTCGAAAATCACCGTGTAAGGTCGCCGGAACAGTGAGAAAATTATTATAATTAGGCATTCAACGGAAACTGCCTAAATTGGAATCGACTGCTGACGATACACAGACATTGACGATTATAACTGCATGATAGTTAGACATGAATATTTTACCGTCTTAGGGCCCACCATTCATGGGTGTTTAGCTGCAGTATCTACACAACAATGACGAGTTTCGCTATTATTCCAAGCAAAATAAGGACAGATTATGCATTGTTCGAGCCAATAAAGATAATAGCTTTCACCGTGTTTGCCACCAAGTAATGATTCGTGCACAGTGCACACACCACGCTGCTGTTTAAGGCAAATATTAATATTCAACGGGCAGCGCAAAAATACATGACGTATATAATAATATACTCATTACTCATACAAGAATACGGTGAGCGTCAATCATGTACAGCAGTAGTATATAAATAAAGTATAGGCCAAGTAATAACATACGCCTATCAATTAGAACAAGTACAAATCACTATAGGGTATAATACTTAATATGTATTTCTGTGATATGAGTAAAGGAAACATATGGACATAAATAATAGAACAAATATGGCAAGAAATATTGCATATCCATAACTAAGGTCAACTCCATTCTGGTTTAATACAAGCTTTCACGTAAACCCCTACAGATTAAAAATGGAAGACTTCATGCGGTATATGTGCATTATTACAGTCGAGTTTTGCACGCGTCCGTCGGCGTAATGAATAAAACAACAGTAAACGTGAGATCTATTAATGCAGGCAGGTAAAAAATCACGGCGTATTACATGAATTACTTTTCAGATATCCATCTAAGAGCCTAATATAGAAGTGGGAGTGGTTTTCAGTTAAATCAACATTACGCCTTCATTTCAAACCTACAGAAATGCTAAAAGTACAAAATCTAGACGTATAACATTAATTTGCAACAAGTAACAACTACATAATAATATTTAGTCCCTTGCTTTTATGTTTCATCGATTAAAAATCAGAAATTGTAGTACTTAATTTGTATAAGCAAATTATGGAAATTAATTGATAAAACAAAACAAGCTAAATTAAAATAATTATTATATTTCATTCAAATTCGAATTAATGGCATTTTTAAGTAAATACAATTTCTGAATAAGAAACTGTTAATATTTTTTATTATACGTTGAATAATAATGTTATGGAGATGTCACAATTTAAAAATTAATATGTTTATTTAGGTAATGATTTTTGTAAAGAAATCTTTTTATTTGATTAATTATTTATTAAAATGGCGATAGATATTGATTGAATGATAAATGGGTCGAAGTCGAAATGTATAAAAATGATTATATGACAGATATGTGGTTACTCACAGCATGTTGAATCACTCCTTTGGGTTTAGACGCGGCCACGTAAGCCAGGTATTGAATAACTTTTTTCGTGTTCTCGGTTTTTCCAGCACCTGATTCTCCAGTACACAGTATTGACTGATCTTCTCGATCTAAAATACAAAAAATATAAAATATGTTTCTTTTTTTACACCTATAAAAATATGTATAAAATGTATATTTAACCTTGTAACATCGATCTGTATGCAGTATCAGTTACTGCGAATACGTGTGGTGGTACTTCATGTCGTTTGTTACCTTTGTAACGTTCCATTATGTTTTCTGTGTAGATAGGTAATCTCTTGTATGGATTAACCACTACACAAAAAAGGCCAGAATATGTCTACAAAATATCAAAAAAAAAAAAAAAATATAAAATTTATAAAAACACAAAATAATAACCAACCCGGGTCCCTAGTGTGATTCGGGAAGCATACCTACCTATAAAGCTCATTTTCCTCTGACCCGTTTCCTTAAATTAAGGGATGCGTGTTCAACATAAATATTTATTATTCACACTATAGGTTAGCTAGTTTTAACCTAATAAAACTATTTTTCAACGTATTTGGATGTATTTTTTTCTTTTTCATAATTCTAAGACATATACCTAACGGCTAACACAATTTTTCAATAGCCAAAAATTGCCAAGTAGAAAATAATGTTGATTTTTGACATTAAAGTATGGGGTAACACGTCTCTACCTACCTACATATATTTTCCATAAATTATATTGAATGATGTTTACAATTCATATTTCAAAAATGTGTAAGTTAACAACCATGATACAATTATTAAAAATAATCATACATGTTTAATGGTTTCTTTTTTTAGAATAAACAGTAAGTGTTAAATTTCCCATGTCCTGTTCTTTTGATAATATTCAAGACAAAACTACAAATAAAAACCAGTTTCATAAAAACAACATCCGTTATTGTCCTAAAGAATATATTTATTTTCCCTGTTATGTGTAGGTTAACTTCTTCTATACATATCACTTGTAAAATTCTAATAGTTACCTACCATTTAAACTTTACAAAAATTATAATCTTCATCATATATTAATGAATAATACCTATATGATTATAAAGTTCGTTTGTTCAATTTTTTATACTTAGTCAATATATTACATAGGTACAATAAATATTAATCTATATCTCGTTGGTAGGTACTCGACTAACAATACATTAAACACGATGACTTCTAATTTAAATTATAAGCCATCAACAATTTATATTTATACATTTTATTAAAAATAATAGGGGAACACCTTTATACTCAATTATTAAAAATTAGCTGGATGATGCATTAATTTATCTAATCTCAGCAACAAATTTTACATATAATTCCATCCGAATCAATATAAAAATAATAACGATTAACTTAAGGGGATTGGAAGCGGCGATTTTCTGTCTTTATCTAACACACGTGGAACATAGGATTATAGACGTGTTCTATGTCCAACGTACCGATTAATCTAATGAAGCGATAAGAATTCTGAAAACAGATTTGAATTTGTCGTCAAGTCTACTTGAGATCGACTTTCCCACATTTTTCATTTTTTGATTTAAACTTCTCCAAAAGTTGAAATTTGTAAATTTTTTAAGTACTTTTTATAATATATCATTTTTATGATTTTGGTGGGACAATATCAAAAATGTGGGAAAGTCGATCTCAAGTAGACTTGACGACAAATTCAAATCTGTTTTCAGAATTCTTATCGCTTCATTAGATTAATCGGTACGTTGGACATAGAACACGTCTATAATCCTATGTTCCACGTGTGTTAGATAAAGACAGAAAATCGCCGCTTCCAATCCCCTTAAGATTTTTAATTTAAACTAATTACGTTTAATATTTTGTACGGATGGCCTTGAATTCTCCAGTTTTTTTTGGCAGACATAATAAAAATATATGCAATATAATTTATAAGGAAAACTTTTTTAAAATATACACACGTAACTATAAAAATAAAGTTGTCTTTTGGATAATCTTTAAAAGGGTTTGGAAAATTTAAAATTATTTAATTTAGTTTTTATACTTTTAAAATTAGCTAAAAGTTGAAATTTGAAATTTAAAAATAGGTATGAATACTTTATGAACTATATAAACAGAGATTCTATTGTTTCTAAAAAAAGTGTTATTACGAAGTGTACATGTGCATTGTGCATACATGTAAACATAATACAGTTTACATCAATACATTTTTTTTTATGACTTATTACTTATAAGTATAAAATGTATAATTACTAATATTTAATAATATAGCATAATAGAACTTAGTTTTCATAAAAGAAAATAAATAAATTATAAGTACCTACAATTATTTTAAAAATTGCATTTTATTGCATGATTACTGGTAAACCATTTGACCTAATTGATTTCTACAAAGAATTTTCGAATGGCCGTTAAATCTGATTAAATGGTGCTAATTTCCAACGAATTCCGTGAATGATTCAATACACCGACAAGGTTTCTCCTGCGTTTCGTAATAGAATTAATTTTTAAAATGGACCAGGATTCCAACATACAACATTATTGTTGCGATTACTAATCGGTTACGACAAATGACATATTTTATACAATGAATATTAGTGGTTATGGCCTCCTAAACAGATACATAAAAATAAAATAAAGAAATTCTATAAACTATATAGTGTTTATATTTTATAGACACAAGTAAATATAATTAATTAAATATTAAAAATTTACAAACGAAATAATTATAAATGTTATAAAAAAATGAATAGCCAAGGAGAAAATATGATTTAAAAAAAAAACACATATTTGTTGGAAAAGTGTCGTACGAGTATGTTGACTATGACTCATGGGTTGAGGCTTTACTCATTCCTTGGACATACACATAATATAACCACTCCTCTTTTCGAGAATACGCGTTTGAGCTCTACACAGTATGCACAGTAAATATTAATTATAATATTAGACAGAAACATTTCGACTATTCTCAAATATCCATTAGCACGAAAAATGAAAATGTAATTAAAGCAATACACTGAGCTCACTTGTTATCATTCATAACCATAGATAGGTAGATGGTATATGTAACTAACTATTTTTTACAGATAGATTGTTCGAAACATTTGGTTAATTTTTCCAATAAAAAACCTAGGTATATAGGTAAAATAGTTATTTAAATGAATGTATGAGACGTATATTATAAAATATGGTGCAGGCAGCAGCCGTAATAATCGAAATCGTAAAAATAAAAAACATCGTTAAGTATCATAATTATAAAAATATATATTGACATTTAACTGAATGGTTAAACTCAAATTGAACCATATGACGAAATCATTAACTATAGATAAAACATTATAGATACATAAAATACACCATTTAAAAAGACGAATAGAAAGTGTATTGACTGCATTTTTATTATTTTTATTTTAACTTAAATAAATTATATTATTACAATTCTCAGCTTAATAGCAAATACAATTTTAGTTCAGTCTTCGTATTGAGTATTGACAAACAATTGTTTTTATAAACTATCACAATAATATCTTATAGAATTTAAATTCTATTGAATATTTTTATTAGGTAGTAGTACATTTCAGAAAATACGGTTTCTCTGATATAGGTAAATAATAAATTGTATTTCCATGGATATTATAAGATTTTAAATTATAGGTATTCAATAATATTAGATTGCAATAGTTTTTAGTTTTGAATTCAAAATATCAATCATTATTTTCAGCCCAGTAAAAATAATTGATATTAAACAATGCGATTTTATTCTGTGTATTATACTAATAATGGTGATTGGGTAGACCAAAAAAAAAATTTAACAACTATATTTAACGAACGTATATTAGACAAATGGCATGACAATGCGACACTTAGTTATTTTATCTTGGTTTTCTTTTTAACGAACATTATTATTTAATTGTGTTTTAATCTTTTAATGTACCTAATATATATAGCAGGCAACGGCAAGTTATGACCAACAACCAAATCTAGGATTGAATATTCAACGAAACAAAAACCATCCAGTATAATATTCTGTGTCTGAGTAATCATGTCTTAATAATTTGTTTTCGCTTAGTAATAAGTTTATTACATATTGTGATATAATATTACGATTTATGAACACATCAAATAAATACGTTAAGTATGTTTCTACGAGGGTGAGTTGTCCAGACAAGATTATGTCACACTGCCTGACCTGAAATGACCTGCAGTCTGCATTCCAAAGTGCTTAATAATAATAATAATAATAATAATAATGAAGATTTTTAGTAGGTATTTGGGTTTACTTCGAAATACAAATGTGAACGTTACTGATTTAGTGATTTACAGTGTTTAAGCATATTTGAGAAGTAAAATTCATATATTAATATAAATCACAGATAGTCATAATAGTGTGCAACTGGTAGCACTATATAGATATTAGCGAGTTTCAGTTGAAAAACAGAAGCAACAATCTAAAAATACCAACTGACGACTATTATATTATTATTATTATATACGTTAATATTCTATTTAAAAAAAAAAAGTTTGTACTATTTTTATTAATCATTCAACATTTTAATACAATTAAATACAATTTACAATTACATTACCTAATTAAATACAAATAATGTAAATATATTATTGGAATTCATAATATTAATTCATTGACTGAAATATTATACCTACCTACCTACCTACCAAACAAAATAAAATACGTAAGGAAGCTATGTAGGTAATTTCATAAAAACAATATACTTAAATATTTGATTAAAAACGTCAGTTTTGTTTAGTTACATGCCTAGGTATGGAAGCTAATCTATAGTTCTAAATGGTAGGTACCTATTATACATATTTTTTTTTTCATTTAATGTTGAATTAAAAATTACTTTTAATTAATATTTTATAAACTGTAGATATTAACTATGTTATTACGTACTATATGTCTATATGTAATATACTTGGTATACCACAACTATTATAATAATACTAATGGTCAGTTTATTTTGTGTGTTATTTAATATATTATTTTATTTCATACCCTCATATATTCGAAACCCTATAGATTGTTTTATGATTAATCATGTTAACATGAATTATACCTACCTATCTAATTACCTACAATGATTGTTATAGTTGTTGTTTTAAGTTCATTATGATTATTATGAAATACTGTATTAACTTATTTGAATGGTATTTTCTTTTGGACTCTTTAAAGAATAGATAAAAATGTAAAATTAGTTTTCTTTCAGATGTTAGGTTCATAGGTACAATTTTAAGCTTTTCTGGAATAAAAATATATTAGGTACCTAAAAGTATTTACTTGAACAAATTTAAAATTCTTTTATATAAGTAATACTCTCCATTATAATATCTTCTATTTTATGTTTTTTTTTTAAATATTTGCCTACATCATAATTAAGTAGTTATAGCCACAGGTATATAACAAAAATATTATTAGTATTTTGTTTATGATACTTATTAGTTATTATGAAAGGAAATATATTTAACAGCTACGGTAAGTCTAAAAGTTGAATGTATTAAATTAATAGTGTTAAGTAATTATATAATAATGTGTATTAATTTCAATATACATTAATATAATAATTACTATCCATATCTAAATAACTTCTGATATAACGTAACTACAGTAGGCACTTTAAAAAACTAGGTACTATAGTCTACAAGTATGTATTAAAATAGAGTTCCAACACATAATATTACAACAAAGAATGATTGATCATGATAAACTTTTGAATAATTAAATTTATATGGGTAAAAATGTAAAGGGTTGTTGACAACCTTGTCCTATTGACTACTTGTATAATTTTGAAGCCAAATATGGTTTACTAGTACCTACCTAATTTAAAACCGTCTCAAACTTTCACATTAAAACAGTTGCTATTTGATCTACAGACATTTAACCATTATTTGTCTAAATAAATACCTACACAATTATATTACACCCAAGTACTTATATGGATTTCTTACAATGTATACATATTATTAATAGTAGAGCTACCTAACTAATATTTATTTTCATTTAAATTAAAAGAAATAGGTATTAGGTAGTTACATTAACTAGCTAATGGATTTAAGTGTATAATGAAAGTTCACTCAAACAAAATCGAGGACACATAAGTTAAAAATACCTATATCAAAAATATGCTTAAAAAACTGCTAGCATATCTGACATTGTGGAGTATTTTATTTTATGTTTATAATTTTTATACAAGGTACCTACCTAATGCCTTTTTTAAAATTAAGTTTTAGGCATATCATAGGTATCGTAGGTATCTAGAAAATAGTTTTATTATCTTGGTGAGTATTGAACTGATGTTGGAAGGTGTAAAGATTAGTGAAGTATAGGTAAATATGATATATTGATACCAAATAGTACCTAATTTTGATTATTTGTAAATATTATAATATGTTCTATAAATCAGTAAGTACTTGCTAAAGGTTATTAACACATTTTTTTTTAAAAAAAAATTACTCTTATTAAATACACTTTTAAAGATTTGAACTATTTTTAAGTAATTGGTTAATACAATGCTTAAGAGGAAGCTACACTGGTCATTTTCAGCGGTAAAAACACGTCTACAAAAAACAAACAAAATGGTTTTATAGTAAAAATATATATGTATATAGAGAACAATATTTAAGAGAGAACCTCATCGGTGTAATTTTTATTTTTAGTAGGTAGGTACCGAGTTAGGTATCTAATGAATATCCTGAGAATATCCTTTAGAGTTTCTTTATACAAATTAAAAAATATTGAAAAAATACCCCAAAAAATACAATATGAGAAAATAACTAGGTAGGTACCTAGTTAATTATAAACTTATTAAGGTACATACCTATATAGGTATGAATTATCCGGGGAATTATTAGACACCAAAATATCATTCTTTTTAAAGAGTTGTAATCTGTAGGTACTTATATAAATATTTTAAGATAATCATATTCTGTACCTTCTTTTATTTTATATTTTACCTATATAGGTACCTACTAGTGCTATGGGTAATCCACATAATATGATGAATAGCGAGATGAATAGGTCGGTATGATAAATTATTTTGCATGAATAGGTAAATATTAGTTATATTATCTACCTACATCAGACTACATTTAGTGTTCATAGAAAAAAAACTGTTTTACTTAATGAATAACTGTAAATTACAATAGGCACTTATTTTAAAAATCTGTGTATAGTCTGTTCATTTTAAGAAGCGATTCGGCGGCCACTAGTAAAACCGGTTTTCAAGCGTAAATCAGGTCGCTTCTTATTTTGAACAGGGTATAGATATCTACCAAACTAGAATGCAATTGTTTTTTAAATTATGTCATTGTGACATATTTTAGAGGAGTAAATGCTTAGCTAAATGTAACTTCTGAGCTTTAATAAGAAGAAAATTTGATGAATAGGTAGGTAGGTAACTAATAAAATTCTAAATAATTCAGTACTTGTATGCCTTACTCGATGTCGCATGGACATCATTCAATCTATAAAATTGATAATTGCTAAGGTCCAAATATCAATTTAAAAAGAAAAATAATTGTTTCTTCAGCATAAATAATATGAAATGCATACAAACAGGCCATTTATAACGGATTAATGCTAATGTGTTTAGTCATTTTTAATTTATGAAAAGTACTACTCTATATTTTGTGCTTAATGTACCTAATGTAATCTTCTGTGGACAACTGGATAATGAAAATAGAGATGATAAGCAAATTTCACTATTTAATTTCTATATTTCTGGGATCTTCAATAACAGTTTGGCAAATGTTGTGACTTTATAACATGCGTAACATGTACCTATTACTATAAGCTCACAGATATAATTGTGTAGACTAGGTAGTCGGGAAAAAAACTCAAATAGGTATTGAAATATAAAATCTACCACAAGCGCGGGGGTGGACAATCATCTTCAGCGTCGATTCACTACCATTTAGAAACCGGTTGCTGGCCGTTAGAAACATTGAATCACACAGTACAAGTAGACAATCGGAAGGCTCTGACAGGGGAGGCTCCCTGGTGTTATTGACTTACGTATATCAGGCCCGAATAGTAGCGGTCCTTGATGTTGTGCAGCACGCAGGCCTCGTTCAGGCACGTCAACTCGGCCATGTCTTCGCTCTTGTCGAACTTGGGCGGATTCATCTTTTGTATGACATCTTTGTCGACGAGCACACGCTTGCCGGTCTCGGCGATTTCCACCTCGACCTCGTCGCCTCGCTCGCCTTTGATGCCGGCCGACACGAAGCCCTGGCTGTCGTGGGGCACCCACACCAGACGTTTCTGGGTCCATTCCGCCTGTGTGGGCTGATCGTTGAGCTGGTTCCGGTCGACGGCCAGGTATTTCATGAACGGGTCCGATCGGTCGGTGTCCATGTCCATGGCTACGGGGGGGTTCGGCGCACTCGCGTACGTCGTCCACGGGCGCGATGGATGCTATTGATAATATGGGTGTGTTGTGTTTATATAAAAAAAAAAAAAAAAAACCAAAACCGGTGGAAATGTGATCGGAAACAACAACGTCGGACGCGTTAAAACGGAAAAACGTGTCTCGATGTTGTAAAAATATGATATAAAAAAAAAATATAAACTACGATTTATCAGTCGTTGTCAGTTTAGTCGGCGGCGGACGCGTCCGGGTTGCAGCAACGCATCTGTGGCCTGTGCCGGGTCTGTGGTTGTCGCGTTCGTCGGGCGCGCGCGATACGAATAACGCGATTACGGTCGAGAGGGAGCGAGAGAGAGAAAAAACGGTCAAGTCTCGACGCGTTCTCCTACTCCGCCGAACGACTGTGCTACAACTACTACGCCGAAGACGACGCGCGGTGGCGGTGGTGACTGGTGATGACGACGGTTCTCGCACGGTGCGGTCTCGTCGTCGTGGTGGTGGTGCCGCCGAGTTTTTACGGTTGCGACGCTATCGGTGCCGGACTGCGCGACGACGCGACGTCCGTCTTCGTTCGCAAGGTGGTGGTGGTGGTGGCCCGTCTCGGTCGGTCCGTGTGCCGTACCAGTCGGTACAGTGTACACCGTCTGTGTGCGGCGTACCACCCGGGAGAAGCTGTTCTTTACAGTAATATCTCTGGTTTTTCGTACGCGGTGGGACGCCCGCTGATCAAAAAACACATTTAGCCGACGGGCGATGGACGAGTGACGACGTATGTCGTACAATAATAAGGACGACAAACGTACTACCATTTACCTGTTATAATATTAATGAAATTATCACAACCATAATGATATGGTATTATTACAGTCTGTAGACGATTATTAGGACCTTAAATAGTTAATTCAAAGTTAATTCCACGTTAAATCAAACGTGGATGGGGAATACGCCGGTCGCCGGTGCCGAGTACAAATTACAGAATAGTAATAATAAATAATAATAATAATAATATCATACACGGGCACGCGGTGGTGACGACCGGCGCGAAAATAGTCGCGCGTGCGCGCATGACAATAAGCCGACGATCAGTTCGGCCACCGACGGAACGCTGTAATTCCCAGCGGCCCGTGTTTTTCACTCGTCGCCCGCCAACCGAAGTCCGAACTGCCGAGCAACGACTGGTCACAGCGATTGCAACCGGTCTTCGCCCCTCAAAGAACGTTATTTCGATGAGAACGGAAATGCACTTCAGTACCAAAGCTCATTAAATTATTATTCTGTGTTAACAGTACAAATTGTTATTGTATTATTATTTGTATCTTGTTATTGTCATAAGATTGCAGAGGTAAGTTTGGAAATAGTCGGGCATGACCGACTTACAACTGGTATCGAGTACCCAACGATTATGTTGAACCGAACACATGGAATTTGTTTCAGATGTTCTACAAAAAAGGTACCAGAAAGTTATTGCGAACATTGCAGCCGTCCGGCGTCGACAAAGAAAATATAGTCGAGACCGGCAGATTTCATAAACACGAGTATGGATTTATTTTTAGATTTTTAGATTTATTGCACATTGGTTTACTATTATTTGTATATGTAATGCCGAGTTGCATGAGCAATCGCTAAATATTCATTGAATCAATAGTGAGCTAGTGGTCCCTTAAATAATATGATTTATTTGGTCCCTTAAATAATATGATTTATTTGGTCCTTTAAATTGTATTGAACCATTTGAACCATTTAATGAATTATTTTTTGTTGCAACCCGGAATGTGTTACATCAGTTCTGATCCTAAAATATTGAAGCCACAATTTAAGACTGAAGTAGATGTTAAATCCAATGAAAATAAGTCTATAGTTGCAAAAGTAAATCCATCTGTCTACAAGAAGTTAATTATTGAAGATCTCACTAGCATTGGTATGCATTTACTAATTGTATTTTGTTTTATATTTAACAGCTTTTTACAAACAATATTATGCAGAGTACAAATTTAATGATTATAAACTTGCTATTTTAGTTGGTCCTAGTGAAAAATATTGGGAGGTTACTGCAGAACATCGTAGGAAGGCTTTGGGAGAAGTTCTTGAACAAAATTGTAAATTACTTACCATGGTCATGGCATTGGAAGAAGAAAATGCATCTTGTAAAAAATTACTCGAACAAACAACGGATCTCGTTAACACATTAAAGGTATACATGGAATAGTTGATTCCTACAAACACACAATTATTATGCAAAACTGCAAACTGAAACAAAACAATTTTAGTTGATTGTTATCGAATGATTAACTAATTATTCTATTTTTAGTTGGTTTTATGATAATCCAGTATTTATACAAATATATATTTCCTTTAAATACATAAACAAAAATTAAATTAGCTTAATACAATTATAGGAAGTACTAAATGAAGAAGCTCATAAATCAACTGAAGATTATGTCGATAATGACATTTCATCAATCAATTCAAATCAAATTAACAGCAACGATGATTTTTCTGGCAGCGAATCTGAATAAATTATTTTTAAATTTAACAATTCATTCATATTTTTAAATTATTAAATTGATTTTTTTTTTGTTTTTACCAAGTATTATATTATTTTGAATTAAACTTAATCATATCAATATTTTTTTTAAGTAAATATCCATTTTTAACTTTAATTTTTTAACAGTTTGTATGTTATTTATATGAAAATGAAAACAATCATGATCTCTTAATCTATACATTTTGACTTGAATGACTTACAATAAATTGTATACATATTGAAACAATAAACTAATTTGTAAGTAACTTAGATGTTATTTTTTATGTTAAACAAGTAGTTCAAATTCATTGGTATTTTAACAATATCCATTAATTTGTTCTATGGTATATTGTGTTCTATTTTAATTATTAAATTTGTAATTGATTCATAAAGATTATTCTTACATATTTGGACAATATTTGTATATGTATAATGTATATGTAAAGTAAGTCAAAAAAATGGTAATTTTATTTTCAGTTTAATGTGATAAGTAAAATTTAGCTTTAACAGTAAGCATAAATTCATATGACATACCTCTAGATTTTTTCAAAAGAAACTAAGACCAATAATAAAATGGACTGATAACAGAGACAGAGGTCCAGGGGCCCCTTTGTTGCAATTGTTGAAAAAAAAATACAACTTAAGTACTTATGGCCAGATTTATAGATGATACTTAGAAAAATCTTAGTATTATCTCAACTAAAACTAGAAATTGGTATTTATAAATCAGACTTATGATATTTACTAAGAATTATCTTAGTTATATTTTAACTTAAATAAATCCTAAGTTTTGGTATTTATAAATGGTACTTTGAAAAATTTTAAGAAAAATTTGAGTAAAAATTAAGAAATATCTAAGGTACCTACTAACCATGCTTAACAGTTACTCAACAGACACAAAATTAATAACTTGGTATAAAATAGTTACTTTTATACTATTAAATTGTTGTTCGATCTTTTATAAAAAGTTGATAATTTTATTTAATTTATTTTTTACTATTTTAAAATGGATATTAATTATCTTGATGATGACTTAAACTATGATTGGCTAGAACAAACTATTCGTGTTCCTAAACGATATTTACGTGATATGCAAAACTCCATTTGAAGGGTAAGTAATTTTGAAATATTTTTTAATAATTCCCCTTTACAAATATTTATTAGTAAACATTACTAGATTTTCAGATTTGCAATTTTTCCAACGGTTTAGGTTTCCAAAATATATTGTGTTAGAAATAATTTTACCTATGATATAGGTACTTGGATAATATGGATTGCAATTTTGATAGACGTGGGTTAAAAATCGATAATATTACAAAAGTGTTAATTGCCCTACGTTTCTATGCAAGTGGAAATGACCAAGTATTTGAATGCAATTTAAATGAGTAATTATGGTAAGATTATTGTTAATTTTATTTTATTGTTTTATAGAGAGTCAATGGAGATACATTAGGATATTCACAAGCTTCGGTTTCTATTGTAGTTAAAGAAGTATCGGGATTACAAGCTAAATGTGGAAAAAAATGGATTCGATTTTCATCAAATTTACAAGACACTAAGGAACAATTTTATTTAATTGGTGAATTTCCTGGTGTAATTGGAGCTATAGATTGTACACATGTCCCTATTAAAAGTCCCGGAGGCAACAACGCAGAAATGTATAGAAATCGAAAAGGATGGATGCCATTAAATGTTCAAATTGTTTGTGGTCCCAAAATGCAAATTTTTGACATAGTCTGCAGATGGCCCAGTTCAAACTAATGTAATTAATAAGAAATCGTATTAGCAATATTTGATATTATTATCACAGATAAGTCAGCTAATCTGTGGCAATAAAATATTAATTATGCTGATAACAATAAAATTATATATAATCTCCTGAACATTTTGCTTTTAAGAAATATTTTTACTTGAAATATTCTTAGAAAAATCTTAGCTAAGAAATAACTTAGTAGTTAGTACCCTTTATAAATACCACTTGTGAGTTAGTGAAAAATATTTACTTAGTAAAGTTGAATATAAGTAAAATCTTAGTATCGTCTATAAATTTGGCCATTAGTACTTACCATTTATAATAATCATAACAGTAGAGAGAGATAATAGTTCAACAACAAAGATAACAACATTTTGTAGAAAAAGATATCATACACCGAGTAACTGATTCTGGGCTTAATTTTGAGAGGGGGCATGTAGGAAAAAAGTATAAAAATTGGCTAAACAGTAAACACTGCGTAAAACTTAGGGAAACTATGGCAAATTCCCCTTTTCCCACCCCTGGTTCAGCCACTGCATACACCTTAGGTAGTCAGGTCCCAATGTCTTATATTACACAAGGTATTGACTATCTATTTATAACTATGTTGGCAACATAGGCGTGCTCAGACCTCTGGGTCAGGTAAGGCTAAATTAAATCTGATCACCCACTCCCTTGTCATGGTCACACAAGAAAAAATTAGACATTTTCACATTTGACTACAAACTTTTAAGTGACCCTTTGGTTGGTTACTGGAAAATGTAAGCAATCAATTTTCATTATTTTAAACATACAAAATTCATCCTTATTGATTTAAATTTTAGTCAAATATAATCCAATAAAACAATTTATTCAAAAACGTTCAATATATAATATATAATATTAAAAATTGCCAATTAACATTATTCATTTTAAATCAACTTTAGAGATATAAATATTAAAATTTAGTTGAGCTGAGTAGTGGACATACATTTTGCGGGGTAACCCCGTACCACTCAACTCGGCTCATCTAAACTTTAAATACTTATAACGCATAGACTACTCGCACTAAATTAGATTTTTTATGTATCAAAATACTTAGAAAAATATTCTATTTTGGCATATGGAATTCAAACTCTATGTTGTCAAAAAAATTAGAAGGATAAAAAATATTTTAAAATATAATTTTTTAATAACAAAGTTGTTTTGTAAGCGACTCAAAACTATGTAAAAAAAAATTTTCAAAAACAATCACATTTTTTGAAATAATGAGTGTTTAATTTTAAATAAATCGCCCTGTTTAGTCTCTCGGGTAAACACAAACGTTTAAAATCTAAAAAGGCTATATACCTACTTTTAGTCATGTCTTCATAAGGTACCAACCCACCCACGTATAAAAAAGCTCAGGTAGGGCTAAAGCCCAATCAGCCCTACCCGTGCGCACGCCTATGGTTGGCAACCTACAGGCTATAGTATATACCTATGGGGAAACATTACCGAATTTGAGTATTAATTTCCCGTTTCCGTGGGTAATGGAACTATTCTATGTTAGTGTTAAATTCTTGCTCTGCACGCTGCTTCTCGTTGGTTCTCCATTTTTATCATGTGACCCCCAGGGGTGGACTAGCTATGGTGTCGTATGAGCAATCCCCGCCTGGGCCTGGTGAAAATTTCTGCCGAACTTTCTGTTTCCCCGGGGCCAATTTTTATTCCCAGTCTGCTCTTGTGTTTGTTCAATATTTTTAAAGTTGTTTAAACTTTTAGATTCTGAGTGAAACGATGAATGTATTGATTTTACAATGATGTGTGTTTTTTTTTTTATTTTTTTTTTATTTTTGTGTCTGTCATCACGTTTTAGGACAGTAAAAGTGCTTGGATTTTCTTCATCAGTAGCTTTTCTGATAGGAAAGTGAATCTAGTTGGTACTTTGGGGGGTCAAAAGTATAAATTTCCCAGTAGTTTTCACAAGCGCCGGGAAAAACAACATAAAAATTAAGGAAAAACGGGAATTTTTACGCAAAATTGGTTTTCCAAAAAATCGATTTTGGTTTTTGGTGTAACTCTAAAACAAATGAACGTATATACATGAAATTTTCACTGGTTGTTTATATTTGCATTTTCTATACACGATAAAATTTTCAAAATATTTTGATTTATTTTGAACTGTTTAGGGACATTTTCATTTTTCATTTTTTTTTAGTTTTTTTTCTAGAAATATCAATAAAATTTTATTTGTTGGTTGCGAAAGCTTGAAAATTTAATAGAAGGCTCCTAATATGTTGTTTCAAAGGCAGATGAAAAATATTAAAAATCCTTAGTCACAATTTTTTTTTATAAGCACTTAAAGTTCAAAAATTGACAAAATATGGAAAAATCACGAAAATTAGCAAATTATTTTGAGTTAAGAATTCGTAAAAATTTTTCTTTTTAAATCTAAGATTTGAAAATTTAACACAAGATTCCTTATAAGATTATCTACCTTTATCAAAAAAAAAAATGTCTATAAGAAAGTCAAATTAAATTTTTATGAGCGTTTGAAATTCAAATTTTTACAACATTGAATATTCACTCGATTTCCCATGTAGCGATTTCCTTAGTTTGTTGTAATTCAAAAACAAATAACTGTAGATACATGAAAATTTCACTGAATGTTTAAATTAGCATTTTCTATACACCATACAATTTTGAAAATATTTTGACTCTTTTTGAGCTGTTTATGGACATTTACAGCTTTCAATTTTTTTTAGTTTTTTTTCTATAAATATCAATAAAATTTTATCTGTTGGGCCAAAAAGTGTAAAAATTTAATACAAGGCTCCTGATATACTGTTACAATAGCAGTTGAAAAATATTAAAAATACATAGGCACAGTTTTTTTTTATAAGCATTTAAAGATCAAATTTTGACAAAATTTATCAAAATCTCGAAAATTATCAATCATTGAAATTAATAAATTATAAAATGTTCAGTTTTTATAGCTAAGGATTGCAAATTTAAAACAAAGGTTCTCATAAATAGTTCATACTGTAACCAAAAAATCTAAAAAATATATGAACACAGTTATTTTTTACAGACATTTTAAATTCAAATTTGGACGAAATTACATATTAAAAAACCTAGAATAACTATTTTAGTTATTTTGTTGTGATTGAATAATATTATTCGTGGGTACTTGAAACTTCTAAAGTGTACTATTATATATCTATGATAGTATCACGGTTTTGTTGATGTATAACGCGTTATAAGTACCTAATGGACAT